CGTGAAAAAAACAATGGCGCAAACCGCGATTGTCTATCTTTTTTGGCTGCCGAACTACAGAGCGTTTTCGAGATTTTACCTTTTATTGGTGACGTCATTATCTCGATCCCCGTGAGTCCTGTCAGAAAATGAATAGCACTTTCTCATAGCAATCCTTTGAGTTGAATTGATTACTGATAAGAGCAAAATTATTCATCGAACAGTTTTCGAGATATGAACCTAATTTAATTTTTTTTTATGGGACAACCTGTAAATTATTTCACCATTCGATTATAATTCCAATTACCTTTCGAACGATATATCATATGCTATAGTTACTTTGAGAACAAGTGGTTGTTTTTCGAAAAATCTGATATGAGTCCATGAAAAATTGAAGAAAAATATAATAACTAACTAACTTTATCAAATTCACAAATACTCACGTTCATTTGATAATTATCATTCAAAACTGTGAGAAAGTTCGAAATATTTAGTTCAACTGAGGTGCGAATTGTTTCCTATTGTCGTCTTCCAATTGCATTTCATTATGTTCCTTATACTTCTCAAGAAGGCCATGCAGAAATGACAACCATAATCCATTAATTATTATTGTCAACTGTGACGCTTATTCACAAAAAATGGTTCAATTTAGTAATGAAGAGAAATATGATATGCTCAAGTGTTTTATCGAAAGTGGAGAAGATGAAAACTCAGCTTCTGAACTTTATTTCAATAGGTAAGTGATAGAATAATCGACAGTGAAACGGTTGTCCAAAATTAACAGTCAAATCATCTTATAGATACCCAGAGAAAATACAACCAAACCCAAAAATATTCAAAAGGTTACAATCAAATTTGAAAGATTTTGGATCTTTTGTCAAACCTCGCCCAAAAATTTATTATAAACCAGAAAGAGAAGCTGCACAAAATATAATAGTAGAAACTGTCAGAGATAATCCTAATATATCATCCCGCGAAATAGAAGAAAATTTAGGGATGCCAAAAACAACTGTGTTATGTTGCCTACGGAAGAATAAATTCAAACCGTACCGAATTAGAATCACCCACCACTTGTTCCCAAACGATTTTCAAAGACGTTTAGATTTTTGCCACTGGTTTTTACACAAGTGCAATGAATCGCCAGGTTTTGAAGAAACTGTCATATGGACGGACGAGACCCATAAAAGCAGTGCCGGAATCTTCAACAGACATAATAACCATCATTGGGCTCAAGAAAATCCCTATGCTACTGCTACCGTCAATCGTGAAGGACGATTTGGATTTGGTGTATGGTGCGGTTTAATGGGACACCAAGTAATAGGCCCATATATTCAAATTCTACGACAAGAAGTTAAAACATATTCAGGCAATTTGCCTGTGAAACAATTCCAAAGAATATATTTCCAACATGATGGGGCGCCAAGCCATACATCATGTGATACTAGGAATTATTTGAATGTTCAATTTGGAGAAAATTGGATAGGTATGTCATCATGATAGCATTGAAAGTTCCTTCTAAATTATTTAATGCACCAAAGTAGACGTTAGAATAATTAGCTCATTCAAATATTATTTCATTTGTAGGAAACAATGGTCCTATTTTGTGGCCAGCAAGATCTCCTGATATCACCCCTTGCGATTTCTGGCTTTGGGGTCATTTGCAGAATATGATATATAGAGAACCATCTAATAACATCGAGGAATTGGAAAACAGAACGTTAGCTGCGTTTCGAAAAATAACTCCTATAATGATAAGAAATGCCACGAATGCTGTCAAAAGGAGATGTCAGAAGTGCATAGATGTCAATGGAAGACAATTTGAAAATTTATTTTAATGATTCTTTTCAAGTTTTTCTCATATTCTTATAATAATGCTTACTTGATAAAATTATTATCGATCTACTCCCTGAATATAAAGATTTTCGAAAAACAACCACTTGTTCTCAAAGTAACTATAGCATATGATATATCGTTCGAAAGGTAATTGAAATTATGATCGAATGGTGAAATAATTTACAGGGTGACCCATTTAAAAAAATTAAATTAGGTTCATATCTCGAAAACTGTTTGATGAATAATTTTGCTCTTATCAGTAATCAATTCAACTCAAAAGATTGCTATGAGAAAGTGTTATTCATTTTTTGACAGGACTCACTGTGATCGAGATAATGACGTCATCAATAAAAGGTAAAATCTCAAAAACGCTCTGTAGTTCGGCAGCCAAAAAAGATAGACAATCGCGGTTTGCGCCATTGTTTTTTTCACGAAAATCAAGCTCAGGACACCGCGGTCGGTTTTTGTTTAGCACTGATAGTTTCAGAGAAAACCCCAAATCCCATCGAATTTGGCCCACCCTGTACAGAGTTATCCATCGAAGAGACACACCTTGATATTTACATTTTTTCCTACTAAGAAAAATTAAACAATGAGCTGAAGTTGAATGCCGCAGCGAGGCCTTTTCACGGCACACATCAGAAGTTCTACAGAATTATCCACAAAAGTGTGACACACCACGAATAATTTTTTTAATAGACCACACTATTTTCTATAGAGAGAGGAGATAATACCAGAAACCTAGAGAAATGAGGATTCCTCCTCCTAAATCCTAAAGTATTTAATAGATGAGTGCGTGATGAGTTGATTTTCAATTTATGAAAATATGAAAATGTGGTCAGTGGGGTAGGTACCTTTACATCTGTATTGTTTTCAATACATGGCCATTGAGATATTAATCTGTGGTTATATTGATATGTGTATGTTTCATGCTGTAATTATTAAAAATTTTCTGAGTTGTAACGAGTCATGAAGTATCATTCATTGAAACTGAAATCAAAGCGCATTGAACAGAAGTTTCCATTTACACCAGAACTAGGAGACATTACGGTTTATTGTTGTAGTTCATAATATACACTCAGTTCCAAAAAAAGTGACGCACTTGATATTTGACTTAAAAAAATATATATTAATAGTAGGCGCATTTTTATTTTTTTTTCATTTGTTGGTAGGTAATGCATTTGTATTTAAAAAAAAAATAAAGAGGTAAAGATTTTTCAAAGCCTCCTTGATGGTGGTGGAATAACTGGAACCATTATTTATTATTAATTTTTTACTCACCCTGTGTTTTAATTGAGTAATGGTATACAAAGTGCTTACACCCAATACGAAAGATGCTTCTTTTGCGAGCATTTTGTTTTTTATTCATTGATTTATCTCTAAAATTTTCCGAATTACAGCTTTTTTGCTGATACCTTACGCTTATCCCACAAATTAAATTTATTGAAGGATCAGAGTACTCAAAATTGATTGGGTTGTACTCTGGTAGGATCACATTGTCTTAAAAAAAAATGCCGTAGCCATAGCAACTAATTTGTTGTATGCCTCCATATTTGACCATTTGTCGTTGTGTCATTAATTAAGTGTCTTGTTTTATTGACTGAAATTACATAAAATGCCTCAAATAAATCCTGAACAAGTAGCAAGATTAGTTACGTTAGTAAACGATGGGCGTAGTAAACGTTACGCCGCTCGTACAGTGGAAGTTCATAAAGCAACTGCTCGTAGAGCAATCCGCAAGTACGAACAAACAGGAAGCACCGCTCGGAGGGTCGGTTCTGGTCGCCCCCGAAAATCTTCTCCAAGAGATGATCGCTTCTTGAGATTGCGGATTTTACGGAATCGATCAAATACTGCGGTAAATGTTCAGCAAGATCTTTTCCAAATTCGTGATGTTGCAGTAAGTAAGCAGACGGTATGTAGACGTCTAAAAGAAGTTAATCTAAAAGCTAGGAGACCTGCAAAAGGTCCCAAATTATTGCCCGAACATCGTGCTGCTAGAAGAAATTTTGTTGAAAATTATGGACAGCGGAATATTCCTGAATGGTCGAATGTCTTGAGTCAAGGTTTTGCCTTAACATGGTGGATGGAAGAAAAAGAGTGTGGAGAAGAACTGGTGAACGGTTTAATCAAAATTTAATAACAGAATGCGAAAGCTTTAATGGTGGGCCCGTTATGGTGTGGGGAGGGATTTCAATGAATGGAAAGACACCCCTTCATGTTTTTCCGGTGAGGCAGTCGATGAATGCCCAAGTTTACATTGACATTTTAGAGCGGTATGTCTTACCTTATGCAGAGTTAGTGGGCAATAATTTTATATTGATGTAGGATAATGCCCGACCACACACCGCAGCAATAGTGTGAAAGCTACTGGTATTACCACATTACAATGGCCTGGGAGAAGCCCCGATATGAATCCTATAGAACATTAGTGGAATGAATTAGGGAGAAGGGTACGTTCTCGAGAGTGGTCTCCGGAAAGTCTCGCAGAAATGGCAGATGCATTAGTGAAAGAATGGGATCGTATACCAATGGAAACGATAAGCAACTTAATTTCCAGTATGCCTCGTAGATTAGAAGTTCTTAGAGTTGCTAGAGGAGGCAATACACGGTATTAAGCAGTCATCCCAATTTATAATTTTGTGTTTAATAAAAATGTTTTTTAAAATTATTGGTATCAGTTTATTTCATTAGAAAATTGTTCCTCGATAAATTCAGAAAGTTGGTAGTCTGCAAGGATTCAGCAAAAAAAAGCTGTAATTCGGAAAATTTTAGAGATAAATCAATGAATAAAACAACAAAATGCTTGCAAAAAAAGCCTCTTTCGTATAGGGTGTAAGCACTTTCTATGCCATTACTCAATCAACACACAGGGTGAGTCAAAAATTAAGAATAAATCATGGTTCGAGTTATTCCACCACCATCAAGGAGGCTTTGAAAAAATGTTCACCTCTTTATTTTTTTTAAGACAAACCTACCAACAAATAGAAAAAACAATCGGCCTACTATTTTTTTTTTTAAGAAGATAGATCAAATATCAAGTGCGTCACTTTTTTTGGAACTGAGTGTATAATAGACAGTATTCGATTCTGATTGTTCTTTATGAAACTCTTAATACCCACAAACTACAAAAATTCTTAATTGAGAGTAATAAGACACGAACAGCACAAATTGAAGTTTATACTCACTTCTCGAGTCTAATTTGGTATCCAACGCTAACTCCTAATTTTTCAGCTCTTTCATCTGCTACCCGTTCAGCCACTGATATGGCACTTATTCTTCTAGGCTGTGTGCATATGATTTTACACATAGATCCTTTACCTTTCATCAAATAATCATCTAAAATGAATTGTGCTACTTGTGTAGTTTTTCCACAGCCTGTTTCACCACTAATAACTACAACTTGGTTTTCTTCTATAACTTTCAACAAAGCTTCCCTCATAGAATAAGAAGGTAGTTTTTCTCGGAACTTGAACATTGAGATGTATTTTGAATCTTTACATTTTTTGTCGAATTCATTCTTCAACTGTTCATCCAAATGAGGCACGCGTAGCATGTCTATCGGTGCTTCACATAACTTTTCTGTTATGTTCCCTCTTATGGAAGACAGATAAGACCGTTTGAATATAGAATCTTCAATGTGGGTGTAGGAATTGCCATCTGTTAAATTTAGGTTTTCCAAAGATTTCCCATAAAACAATCTTCTGATTTCCTTTTCTTTGGAATCTGATAAACATACTGTCCCAAGCTGAAATTAAAAAATCATGTGATAACACCGCGATTCTTTCATAAATCACGATAAAGTATATGCCAACAATTCTCAACACAGTTTCTATAAATGATAGTTACATCGCAGTGGCCATCTGAATATATTTTCGGTTCGACACCATCTGTTTATGACACAGATCACCCAACTTCAGATGCGAAAGCTAGGCCTTCCGCGAGAACCCAATCATATTGCGCATGTCATTGTGCGGCGTCGCATGGTCACAATAGGAAATTATACTTCGACTGAATACTGTCTGTAGGTTATTTGAGGGGGTGGTACATTCATTTTGATAGATTAATTGGGATTTTTGGCAAATAACCAGGAAAGTTATTGTTTTCTGTTGAATATTCAGGATGATATTATGTGCATGTACATATTTTTGTCTGAAGGAGAATGCAAATTCTCAACTTCAGAAGATTTCGTTTTCAAATTCTTATCGTGTGTGTTCAATAGATATAATTCAATGAAAAGGAATCTTCTCTGATAATGGATATACAGTGTGACCCACTTCTAATGGTAACACCCCTGTATCTTACGTAATCGTCGGGTAAGGATCCTGAAATTTTCTGGAGCGAGAGGTATACTAAGAATGCACTCTATGACCAAGTAGGGCCATCTTCAGTGATATACACTGCTCGCCAACAGCCATGAAACCACCCCAATTTCCGAAAAATGATATTAGGAGTCAAAATAGGTTGGAAATCACTTCGGATTTGGAATCAGGACGTCCAATTCACTAACTTTTTATAGTTTTCCTAGACATTTTTCAGTTCAGAAAAATTAAATTTTGTCTCACTTCTCATGGAGGCACCCCCGTATTTCACATAATTATTGAGGTAGGGTTCTGAGATTTGCAGGTGGAAGGGAAAGTCCAAAGATAAAGTCAATTACGTAAGATACGGGGTTGCTTCCGTAAAAAGGGCGACAAAATTCAATTTTTCAGAACTGAAAATCTTCCAGGAAAAATATGAATAGTAAGTGAATTGGGCGTCATGATTACGAATCTGAAGTGATTTTTGATCTGACTCCTAATATCATTTTAGAAAATTGGGGTGGTTCCATGGCATTACTTGGTGGAAGACGAAACAACAAAACAATGGAGTCTACAAACAGAATCCAGCTGCACAATCATAAAAATAAATAAAAATAAGTATCCTTATTTTTTTTTACTTTCTAAAAAAGTATAGGAAGGGTGAACTAGTGAACTACAGTAGTATAAGGGCCTTCTTCTAAGAGTTCTAATTATTCTTTTGGAATATTTTATACAGGTGGCCTATCAGGTTACTATCCCAGTCTCGGTCGAAGTGGGTAATTCGGGTGGTTTAAATAGCCTGATCAAATGGTGTTCAATAGTGCCTGTCTCGTCGAAGATTATCAGCAAAATTATGTTTTTCGGGGTACTGATTACGAAACTGTATTTTGCTGCCTCGGAACAGTACCGGTCAGGTCGGAAAACGCAAAAAACTCGAAATCCGGTTTTCTGCCCATATCTTGCAAGAGGAAAATGTCACAGTATTCAAAGGTGAAGAGCATACAATTCTGCGTCTATAACTTTTCCATTCCCAAATTTATAAGGTCGCCATAACATCCTTCAAAATAAGCCAATTTTCACCAGCTTTTGTAAAAAGGGCGATACACTCACTGTTAGACGACTGTGATTTTGAAACAAGCCACTCAATATTAGAAACTGGTGGAATAAAAGTGGTGAAGTATTAAAATTTGAGTTCAGTGAACACCAAAATTTCGAATCAATATATTTCATGTATAGGCATATAGTGATCATATCTCCATTTTCCTCCTAAACGCTTATTTGACGAATATGAAGGCGTCTAATAATAACAAGTCTGCGACTATCAATATAAACCCCCCTACCTCTCAGACCCCTCTTCCTAACTCTCAATTGAAGTACCAACTCCCTTCCTCTCTCTCAAATCCACCTTCCCAGCCCCTTAGTGACTTCCACCTCCTTTTTTTAAAGCCTGAGTTAAGGATTTATGAGTATTACATTATTAAATAGATGTAATGAGAAAGAATTTGTACCAATTGACAAATAATATTTTCTCATTTCTCACATTTTCTTTAGATTTACAAGATGAGAGAAGTAATAAATATATATTGGAGAAAAAATCATGGAAAGACTTTACCAGGTGACACTGGGTATCGGGCCACCCCTGTAAATTCTGTATTCGTTATAGTATATTACATAATATGTGTTGTAAGAAGCATATCACACACGAATGGAAAAGTTACGTGCGTAATTCCATGAGTGCGTAATTGCATTACAACACGCATTACGTACTATACTTTACCTACGGTCATTTACAGTGTATTTTGCTTTAAAAACAGTTCGTTTGTACTATTTTTGCTATGTCAAACGCTGTTGACGGCGATTACGCGACCATGACATACTTGCAGAATATACGAAATCTGTGCGATTTGCTTCGGATTTGCTTACCGTGCGTAATGAGCTACTTACTGAGGCTGTATTTCATGTGTTCCTGCCTATTTTCTATAGTAGCCCTAGGTAATAGTATATTACATAACAGGAATTGTGAAACGCATATCACGCACGAAGCAGAGAGTGCGTGTAACTCCACAAGTGCGTAATTGCTTTTCAACTCGAGAAATGTACTATGCTTTTCCTACAGCTACACTATACTTTCGTCAGGATAGTATAGTATATCCAATATCAATTGCAGAATATCCCGCACTGTGCGGCGTCGCCATGTTTCAATTTTCATCTGAAGTGACTTCAGGTGCGGCACAAGATTCTGCAATTGTTTTTGGATAAACTTTACAGATATTTTGCTATGACACGAATACCGAATACGTCTCCCGTTACTTCATACTAACTGCATGGACGGTGACGGTCCAGGCTCAGGCCCTTCTGCACTCGAAGAGGCATGCTGTGATGGTTGTTTTTTCAACTTAAAAGCAATGTGGTCGATGCTGCAGGTTAACAGCATAGCTTGCGTGTAATTCGTAAATGGAGCAGTGGCTCGGCCATATTTTGGATACGAAACTGTGGGGTTGGTGGTCAACCAAAATTGGTTTGATTCCATTCACCACACTGAAATCCCTAGCTCCTGACAAACTGATGCAGCAAATATCATACAATATCATCATGCAAGTGCCACACTAACTGTGGTGGGCATTGTGGAATTAGGCGCCCAGCGCGCAGGTCTGTCCTGCACTCAAATCTGCATCAACTGTGCATCATCATAGATGAAGGAATCGACCTCGATGTGCAAGAAGACGTCCCTCAGTTTGCCCCACCATTGTCAGGCAGGTGATACTTACATACATGCCTCTCCAAGTGCTGAAGAGCCTGACCAGGGCCTACTCTATCTCACCGGGCCGGAGCATCGCTTTCGTGACGTCACACTAGTAGGGACAAAATCAACGCAGTGGAAATTGTCTCTTCCGTTTCATTGATTTACCTCGGGAAAACGGTCACAGTTAGCGAAAAATATCAAGAGGTCAAATATGTACAGAAAAGAATTTTCCAGAAGATGAATCAAATTTCACTGATTTACGATCATCAATTTCAGAACTATGGCATATCAAAATTAATTGACGCCATTCAGAATTGTCCTTTTTCAAAAAGCTACCAAAATTCCAATATTCAATTCACAGAAATGATTCAATCATGAAAAGATTTCGCATAGTATAGAGATTGACTGAGTTTTTTTTTCAATTTCCCAAGGGCCAACAACAAACCGATATTTCAATTCAAGTAGAACGATGATTCAGGTGTTCATCACAGAATAGTTCAAAAAGTTCGGACGCCTGCCATGCTAATCCTATCAACTATGGATATATGCTGTCACTGACTTTTTTGTAGGAAATTTGATTGCCTACAAATCGGTATAATACACATCCACTTTATCTCGAAGGGTTTTAGCAGCGTTTATCTCTAAAGATGATCAGGACGCACTTTGATGACATGATGACGTTAGAAATCCTATCACTGGAGTGTGTTATTACACAAAAACGCCTATTCTGTATCAATTATTTTCTGGTGAAGAGTATATATTTGAATGATAACGTTAAATTCATGAAAAAACTTTGATTTGAATATATTTGCAAACTATCAAAATTAAAAAGAACAAAATATGTGGAGTTCATATGAACACAACCTAACAATAATAATTGAAAAAATATGTATCTCAACAATGGGAGATATAAAAATGAATATAATATATAATATATGAATGAATAAGGAAAAAATTTAAAAAAAAAGTTGAATCCTTATACACAAACAAAACCAAACAAAATAAACTGTAAAAATGATCAACATAACAAAATAAAAAAAAAATGATAGATATCACAAAATGAAATACACTAATAACAAAAAATATATATACATCATCTTAATCACAAACTAAAAATTGATATCAGAACTCATCCTGAAAGTTCAGTGATTTTTCTTTTTCAATTCTTTTTTATTTTGCAATAATTGTTCAACAGAATATTTGAAATGGTTTTAGAGAATGTTCTGCTGATTCCATCAAAAGACCCACAACTGCAACATTGATTCTCGGAATAATTGAGAAGGGAATTGATTTCAATTTCTGCTAAATTCTCCAAAACTTACATTGTAGAAATATTGTTTCGAATTTTTCAGACACCAATATTAGTTGGTCTGAACCATACGCCATTTAGAAATGAAAAGAGTAATAAAAAGTATATCGCCCTTTACCAGTCCAAGGAATCACCGCGAAATCGTAATACAGCGAAATTTGGGTAGGTAGGTATAACGGCCCATTTTTTACGCGCTCTTTATATTTAATTTCTTTCGGACTCATTGTAGGTAACTCTACAATTTTTTCACTATTCAATTGATTCATTATTGTAGTTTGATATATTGAGTTAGTTTCATCTTATTCCAATTTCAAATTTTCAAAAAATAGTATTCTGTAGTACAACGTCCTGATTTTCAATAAAATGGGATTTCTTTACAACGCCATAACTCGGTATTGATTCATCCTATTGGATTCATTTTTTCACCAAAAGATGAGGAATTTGTTGGGGATCATTTCGTCTCGATTGAGTGTGCTTCTAAAATTTATAGTAAATGAGCTATAGCCTATCAATTACGAACGCACCAGTACGGACTGATGTGAAATCTCAACCTACTAGTGTGACGTCAGCGCCGAGAGAGAGGGGATAGACTACGGCCCGGTGAGATAGAGTAGGCCCTGGCCTGACCCTGGAACGTCATCGTCTATTGAACTCCCTACATCCGGACCTTCCTTCAAAATCCTCAATTGCTCAAATCAGAAATCCAAAAAAAGGAGAGAGAAGCAAATTACGGTTGAAGAGGGAATGGTTTTGAGAGGAAGGGGGATAAGCGTATACTGGTTATTATTGGACCCTTTCATATTTGTTTTAATGTGCGTTTTTATGGAAAGAGGAGAAATGATCAATATACAAGGTGTCCCAAAATTGCTGGGACACAGAGCTACCACGTGTAATCAGTTCAAAATAAGTTGAATGGACCCATCTTATTTATTTTATATCTAGTGTAGTTGATACAAAAATCGATCGATACCATACATTTCTGAATGGAATCCACCAGGCACAGTAATAAATTCTAAGTTTAGCAATATTACAAAAATAAGCCGGAAAGAATTGAAAGACATAATATCAAATCTAAAAAACAATGCAAATGTGCATGATCTTATTAATTTTAAAATCTTGAAAAATATTTTTGAAATTTGGTGCTTTTCACTTGCTTCATGTGGTAAATGCTTCACTTGAAAGTGGTATTTTCCCACAAAAACTTAAGACATCTTCGGTAACACCAATAACAAAAGTGAAGAATACAAGTAATGCTAGTGATTTTAGACCTATCAACACTTTGCCCACAATTAAAAAAATCACAGAAACTGCTGCATACAATCAAATACCCATCTGGTTTCCGCAGCAAACACTCCTGTGACACAGCACTGCAATTAACAATAACAAACTGGACATACTTAATTGATATACGATATATTGTTTCAGCCTCGAAAAAGAAAATGAAAATTTTCGAAAGCTTGGCATAGCAATAAAGTAGTTTGCTTGTAGCCTGATTGACTGAACTCCCCGATATTTCCTATTAGGTATATCTTAATTGATGAAGGTAAATATATTGTGGCAATGTTTATAGATCTGAAAAGATCATTTGAGACCATTGATAGGGGTATATTAAAAGCTAAACTAAGATATTATGGCTTTGAGGGAGTTGTCTTAGACTGGCTGAATGATTACTTAACAGGTAGAAGTCAAGTTGAGAAAATAATAATGCATTGTCAAATGAAAAGCTAGTTGATATAGGTGTACCACAGGGGAGTATTATAGGCCCACTCCTATTTATTCTCTACTGGAATGATTTATCTTGTAACATAAACTGTGATATTACGAATTTGTATGCAGATGATACCCTATTAGCCTCGCTATTAGCTATCAGTGGTGATTCACTAAATCACATGGTGAATAGAATGAATATAAAATTGTCAAATTAGAAAACTATTTTAAAATAAATAAATTGATACTTGATGTTCCAAAAACAAAAGCAATTATCATAATAAATCCTCATAAGCACATACTCAAGGCCGGCCCTGTAATAATAATTTTTTATCATGTCAATCATCACCACTGTGGTCAAAGAACATACAAACCAAATATCAAAAGAATGTATATGTTGGTTCATGAGTTATGATTAATTGAAAAAATGGGGACAATTAATGAATCAACCTGTGTCTTGGTTATAAAGAATGATAGACCCATGAAATATTGATTATTCAGAAGCACCTGGGTGTCCTCCATCTACCCTATGGAGGACACCCACACCCTTACTGTATGTGTATTTCCCAATGAGTGGCCGTTTTTTTAACTTCGCTTATGGTATATGAGAAGGAAGGATATTTTCTATTGCTGGTGATTTTTTTATAGGAGTCCACTAATCTGAAGGAGTTGAAGAAGGCTCCTCACCTTGCTCCTCACAGTAAAATAATTTGAGATTTCTAAACCACCACCAAAAATAGAAAAATCATGAGAACAGTTGGGAAACCTCTTGATTGCAATTTTTATTATGTGAATCAATGTTTCTACACTAATTGATCAACCTCTATACAATGGAATGATTTGTGAAGGAGAAACTACCCCTTAACAACCCTCGGAAGTATAAAAATCTAAATTCAGTTGAAATACCTGTTGCCCTGAGGTTTTCTGATGGAAATGATATTCTAGACCTGCTAAATGGGATGAAATAATTTTTTAACCAGAAACCACCCTTCACCAACCATCCAAAGTAGAAAAATCATAAATCATATGAAATTCTTGTTTCTCTAGATTTGTGAACCATAAACTAACCCTCAAAAACCCTCCGAAAAAGAAAAATCATAAATTGGTTGAAATTCCTATTGCATACCATTTTTCAAGAAATGAATAACCTGCTAAGAAAACTACGAGGAAAACTACCCATCAATAACCCCCTGAAATAGAAAAATCTCGGAAAAATCATAAATCAGTTGATATTGCTGTTGCTGTTGCTGAAGATTACTTTGATTACTCTTCAGTATGTTTCAATTACAATAATTACTTAGAAATATTTGTTGAATATTTTCATTACTTACAAATATCACATACTTTAAATATGGTGTACACTTTTATGAGAGTTGTTTGCCTCTTGAGTTAGACCTGGAAGAATACATGAAAACCTATGTTTGCATATTCTATAGGTTATTAAACAGATTGGTAGAAATTAAAAAAAGTTATTTTTCAATTTTCAATTAATTATAGCCTGTCCAGGACTTTTTTAGGCAACCCATTTTTTAACCATTTTCAACATACTGAACTGGATACTGAATTACTTATATACTATATATATATAAAATATTGTTCATCCATTAAACAGTTGGGTGAAGGTCAACCTTACTTCAGATCTCGCTTCAGATCCTCTACTATGATTAATTATATATTCACCTTGATCTTATAGCTATTCACTGCACAATAATATAAATACTAAACCAACAAAGGTGCCTCTCATGGTTCCTTCAGAAATAACACCTTGGGAATAAAATCTCAAATTGAAGAATTGGCAATACTATTATAGATATTTTTACAGTGTACTGTGAAGTAATTCAAACATACTACATGATGATGCAATATACTGTGAATAGAGTGCAGTGTACTGCATGATACTGCAATTCAACAGCAGAATGATGCCAAGGGACTGCTGAGTAATTTGAAGGCACTACAGCATATGACTGCAGAGGTAATGCAAACGAAATAATATGCTGGTATTGTGAAGAGTGGTCACCCCCTAGCAAAATTTATTTCTTTGTTGGTTTCCAACTTTGATGTAAGTGGTGCTTTAAGGAAAATTGAAGCAGAAGTTTACCTTTACGTCGTTCTTTGATCATCAGAAACAAACATCCGGACCAGTTATCCTAACCGGCCCGGATATCCCCGGAAGCCTCTGTACCCCCAATTTAAATTAAACAATGGACTACATCATGATTTCCTTACCGTCTCTTTTCTCTGTTTTCTTGCCTGGCTTCGTCTGGCATAAAATAAACCAATATCTTTCCCTTTCAGTCCCGGAGGATGTCTTGTCCTCCCCGGAGCATCACCATCTTCATCTCTTTGCCTTTTATGATTATAATATCGCTTAGACATGTTGATTTGACGAACCCTTTGAGATTACATTAGTTGGCTAGTATTATTAGTGAATATGACTCAATGCCATACAGAAAAGATTGATGAAATTGTAATCAATTGAACTTCCAAATTTCAAATCTAAACAATACCCAAATACCTAACCCTAACCCAACAAATCTGACTTACGTGAAGTGGGCTGCCAAAGCTGGCTGCCAGAATTTCCGAACTTTTCCGATTCACCAGTGGCACACGTTTCCCCCCTTTTTGGGAAGGGAACATCGAAATTCCTCAACTGCTTCTGTTTGCGATGATGCGATCGAGGTATGTAGTAAGCTCGGCGAAGGATATCGAACCCATTATTATAATACTTGATTTTAAGTGCCCTAGAGCAGCCTACTTTAAGCATTGTGAAAGCACTGCACACTTGCTTTTGGGTCTCTTCAATCATTACCTAATCATAGGTATGAATAAAGACTCTAAAATTTCAAGAATATTTTATTATCAATACTTTTGCAAAGAACTGGTCTGCTCCTTTCGGGTCAGGGAGACAGGTAATCATGTGTAGAATCATGCTATCAGAAAATAATTCCTTGCCAATTCGTTTGGTAGACTCCACACGAAGAAAACAGATTTTTCGAAAATATTTGTTTTCGGTAGGTACTTTTGCAAAAAACGGATCAGCTACTTTTGGATAAGGAAGATAAGTAATCATGTGGAGAAACATGCTATCAGAAAATAATTCCTTGCCAAATCGTTTGGTAGAATCCACACGAAAAAAACAGATTTTTCGATACTTTTGCAACAAAAATGCTTAGCTGCTTTTAGGTCAGGAAGATAGGTGATCATGTGGAGAATCATACTATCAGAAAATAATTCCTTGAAGAATCGTATGGTCGTAGACCCCACACGAAAAAAACTGATTTTTCGAAAATATTTTTTTTCGATCCTTTTGCAAAAAACTGCCCAGCTGCTTTCATGTCAGGGAGATAGGTAATTATGTGCAGAATCATGCAAAAGTACCGAAAAAAAAAATATTTTCGAAAAATCTGTTTTTTTCGTGTGGAGTCTACAAAACGGTTTGGCAAGGAATTATTTTCTGATAGCATGATTCTCCACATGAAAACCTATCTTCCTGACCCAAAAGCAGCTAAGCAGTTTTTTGCAAAAGTATCGAAAACAAATATTTTCGAAAAATCTGTTTTTTTCGTGTGTAGTCAACAAAACGATTTAACAAGGAATTATTTGCTGTTGGCATGATTCTACACATAATTACCTATCTCCCTGACACGAAAGCAACTGAACAGGTTTTTGCAAAAGTATCGAAAAAAAATATTCTCGGAAAATCTGTCTTTTTCGTGTGGAGTCTACCAAACGATTTGGCAAGGAATCATTTTGTGATAGTATATGATTCTCCACATGATCAGCTATCTTCCTGACCTGAAAGCAGCTGAGCAGTTTTTTTTGCAAAGGTATTGAAAACAAAATATTTTCGAAAAATCTGTTTTTTTTTTCGTGTGGAGCTAGTCTACCAAACGATTTGGCAATGAATTATTTTGTGATAGTATGATTCTCGATCCACATGACCACCTATCTTCCTGACCCAAAAGCAGCTAAGCAGTTTTTTGCAAAAGTATCGAAAAGAAATATTTTCGAAAAATCTGTTTTTTTCGTGTGGAGTCTACCATACGATTCCGCAAGGAATTATTTTCTGATAGCATGATTCTACAAATGATTACCGATCACCCTGACCCGAAAGCAGCTGAGCAGTTTTTTGCAAAAGTATCGAAGAAAAAATATTTTTGAAATTTTATAGTATTTCATACCTATGATTTGGTAAGGAATATTGATTATTTTATAGACTCTATAGAGAATGATTAGAGACCCAAAAGCAACTGTGCAGTGCTTTCACAATGCTTATTATTGTTTTTTTTTCAGTAGGCTGCTCTAGGGCACTTGATATCAATTTTGATAATAATGGATTAGATATTCATCGCCGAGCTTAATTGAGGAATTTCGATATTCCCTACCCAAAATGGGGAAAAGTGTGCCACTGGTCAATCGGGAAAGTTCGGAAATTCTGGCAGCCAGCTTTGGCAGCCTACTTCACGTAAGTACAAATCTTATTTCTGGAATAATAATCTCAATATGTCATTTGTCAATTATTCCTCCTATATCATTCACTATCGTCTCTCGCCAGTCATGGCAAATGGTATCATGCTGCTGTGATGCGGAAAATCTCAAGGTGATCAGAAGGTTATAAGAGGAAAATCATCTTATTGTTTCTGCATAAAAAATATATGAGACTACTTTTAACATTACTTGCCTAAATTGAGTGGAACAATTTTTTTCCTGGAAAGTTTTTTTTTCGAAACATTACTTTATTGAGTGAAAACAGAACAATAGGTACATGAGGAAGGAAGGAAAATATGGTTTCTGCATGAAAAAGGAGACTTCTCTCAACTGAATCTTTTTCCTCAAAAGGGTAAAAAATGATACCTAGTTATTTATTATACAACGAAAAAAAGTAGTAGATTTTAGCTCCAGGTTGTGCTGTCTCCCGACATTTTTTTTTCTATGAAAGGAAAAAGGACGAATCAGCATTGAGAAGATATTAGATCATATCAAAATCAGGAAATTATCGACCTGAAATTTGAAGTTTTTAACATCTTATTTTTAACAGAGGAATGACACCTGCGTTGCAGGCATATTTTTGCAGTCATCTTTATCATTCTTTTGAAGTAATCAGATATCTGTCAGTGTAATTCTGTGATTTGAATTTCAAAAATTGCGAATTTAGTGGTTGTATAATTTACATAACAGCGAAGTCGAATGGAAGATAAAAGGACTCCCTGTTTTTTCTAGGATACGGTGTTTTTAGGGTGTTATTTGCCTAAATCTTTGGAATCATTCCTGATCTATGCGTTGAGATTCGTAATTTCGTGTTTCTTGCTACTTCATCGTGTGACTACTGTGACTTGTGTTTATTGTTGAACTTTTGACTGAAATCATAATTATACTACTTAGTTGGATCATAATGTCTCATCGTGATGTGAGGAAAATAACCGAAAATAACTGTTAACGACTGAATCGTGGACCAAATATTTGTCGGAGCTTTCTTCAAACCAGTCCATTTCTATATGGGACAGCTATATGGGATATCAAGAATCACAAGCATATCCACTATATCATCATGCAGAAGCTGATATGACTAACCTACTATTATTTGCTGATATATTCACCATCATACCTATATATAACTCCAATCTTCAAGCAAAAGGATCCAACAGACCACAAATGGTGATACCAGGTGTGAAGTTTTTCAACAGTGAACATCAATACTGTGAATATATTGAAAACCATCCCTAAACAATGTGTAAACCTATTTGACTATTTTGTGCTAAATATTTTATAGTCACCAGAATCATGTGCATTTGATCCCAGTAGCAACCAGCTCTAATGAGTCTAAACCAAGAAATAATTCAACACCAAAGGCACCCTGAGCTCACTGTGGATTTAATAGTAGATACAACTATCAATGGCCTATCTTCAACAATATTACTTCCAGGTTGAGGATTGGGTAATTTTTTACTTAGAGGGCATTGTCGAATTTTTTCAAAATTTTTGCCAGTACTTACGTATTTTGGGGTGTAGAATACGAATCTGAAAACCAAAAAGCTGGGAAACCAATACTTTTCGAGATATTTGCAAAATAAGTCATTTTGTTCATCATTTTTCAGCGTCTTTTAGCAACATTCCTCAAGCGGTATAATTCTCTATCTTCTTTCTTTCGTTGTTGATTGATGAATTATGTATTTCTCAATTCATTTTATTTGGGTATTTTAACAATGAAAGCATTTCATTTGCTATTTACCTTGTTAATTTTATGTATGTGTTTTTTTATGATTAAAAGATGCATCAAACGTGAACGTGACACTTGACAGACATGATAAATTGACAGACAATAACAAGCAATGTTGCCAGATCTTGTTTTTTCCCGTAATAGGAATAGAAAACAATATAGGGAGGGTATTCCAACCATATTCTTTCCAATGTGTGTTTGAAAAATGAGATCTACTTAACCCGAACAAACTAACCTAACTATAGAGCTCGGATTACGATAGACGTTGCGGTTACGATAGAACCGCGGTTACTATAGAGCTCGGATAACGTAACCGCAGCGTCTATCGGAACCGCAGCGTTTATCGCAACCGCAGCGTTTATCGTAACCGCAGCGTCTATCGTAACCGCAACGTCTATCGTAATCCGAGCACACATTGGAAAGAATATGGTTGGAATACCCTCCCTATATTGTTTTCTATTCCATTCAATGAAAGAATTTTCAATTTTTTTAATCACACTAAAACTATGTATAGAAATTAAATTTAAATTAATTTAACTTAATTTATTTCATGTTTATTTCTGAGAATCGTCTAGAAAGAAAATAAGCGTTAAACGGACGAGCTATGGCAACATTGCCATCATCTTTCTTTGTTGTTTGTTGATCAAACAATTGACATTGATTTTTTTGGTGCTGTTAGCTGTCATAGTTGTTATTTTTTTGTGAATAGGTGCTAGGAAAATAACTAACAGTATTAAGTTTTTGCAATATCCATTAATTTTTCAAAGAAAATACCCTAAATTTGGTAATTTATTTCCCATTAACATATGCACGGAGTGCGTATACACCAGACATGCCAGTACCTATTGCCAGTGATGAGCCGCCAAACAACAGCAAAACAGTGATGATAAAGATTTTGTTTTGCAAATATCTCGAAAAGTATTGGTTTCCCAGCTTTTTGGTTTTCAGATTCGTATTCTACACCCCAAAATACGTAAGTACTGGCAAAAATTTTGAAAAAATTCGACAATGCCCTCTAAGTAAAAAATTACCTTGTAATTTTGCACTTATCATGTGATGGTTTTTTTTTCCAAAATTTTTTTTGGTACTTACGTATTTTTGTCTGAAAAACACGAATTTGATAATGAAAATGTGAAAAAACCATTATTTATTAAGATATTTCACTATAAAGTTACAAATTTCACCAATTTTTTCGCCTGTCTTCTGGATCACATTTAGAACAATTTGCCCTTCTTTTTCCATCATTGGACAATTTATATATATCACACAATGTTGGACACATTTTTTTTATTATATGAGTCAACTAGAAATATGATTTTCTTGTGATTTATCCATGTTTAGTGAAAAGAAGGAAGAATATCATTTGAAATATTGGCGTGTGTAATGTCATTCCAAAGCAATCTATTGACATTTGACATCTCGTATTTGGAATTTGGCCGTCATCTGGTATGCTTGCTCACTAAATAGGAAAAACTCGCCATAAAAATCATATTTCCTTTTGAATTTTCTATCTTAAAATGTGTCAGTGAAGTACATCATGCGAGTATATAAAGTGTCCAATGACAAAATAATAAGAGCAAGTACCTGTAAATGCATCCAACACAAGGGGGAAAAGAAGTCAAAATTTCGAACTTTTTCTTGAAATATCTCGATAAATAGTGGTTTGTTCACATTTTCATTATCAAATTCGTGTTTTTCAGACAAAAATACGTGGGTACCAAAAAAAATTTTCAAAAAAACCCATCGCATGATAAGTGCAAAATTACCGAATAATCATTCCTTACCAAATCATAGGTATGAAAGACTATAAAATTTCAAAAATATTTTATTTTTCATACTTTGGCAAAACACTGCTCAGCTGCTTTTGGGTCAGGGAGATAGAGTAAGCATGTGTAGAATCATGCATCAGAAAATAATTCCTTGCGAAATAGAGTAAGCATGTGTGGAATCATGCTATCAGAAAATAATTCCTGGCGCAATCTTATGGTAGACTCCACAAGAAAAAAACAGATTTTTCGACAATATTTTTTTTCAATACTTTTGCAAAAAATTGCTCAACTGCTTTCGGGACAGGAAGATAGATAATCATGTGGAGAATCATACTATCAGAAAATAATTCCTTGCCAAATCGTTTGGTAGACTATTCAAAGATTGAGCTAATTTATTTTATTTCATTTGGTTTATTTATGAGTCGGATATCCATTATTAATAAGTATGGAAATAACCAATATGCTCTATGTGTTCGACTCCCGTATAAATGCCGACTTGGTCCTTGTAAAAAGGCACGGTTCGATGTTAGTACCAAGAGGAAAATAGATCACGTGCCATGTCATTCAAATGAACAGTTATTGGAAAATTCGAATGACGTCATCAACTCTCCGGTAGTTTCAGATGAACTAAAACAGAACAACATTAATAGTAATAGTAGTAATAATAATAATAATGATGATAATTTGCTTGAGAGGAAATTAGAGATAACCCCTGAAAGTTCTAATATACCAAAGGACTTCAACCTATCCGATACGGTCAATAGCATAATTCTCCCAATAAACTCGGTCAATGTCGATTCTTTACCTCCGAGTTCTTATAAGGAGTGCAACATCTTAGAGGGATCTTATCAGATAAAAAGTGGGGTCTTCCATCACATTATACGGGAAAACCATTTGGTTAGCGGATACTACCCTTCCTATTTTCGAAATCGCATAAAGAAATTCATCAATAATGTTTGTACCATCGTAATGAAATATCCCAAATACCTAAAAGGCGGTTCTATCAAAATTTTTGCTTTGTGTGAAAATAATAATTATCATTGTAAGAAATTCAAAATCATAATACGCGGTCAGACTGTTGAAGTCTATTAAACTTCGGTACATTTTTGCCACCCGAATGAAATAACTTTTCACGTGAAAGGTGTTGAACGGTCGCTCGTTAAAAATAAAGTGTTACATAAAAAACCGTCCGAATACAAACGGAAATCTATTTCATCAGCAAAAAAAACGAATTATAGAGTCTGGTAACTTACAGGATATGAAATTAGATTGTATGTACGATAAGAAAGATAAAGTCTGAAGCTGAATCACATTGGGATAGAAATGAAAATGCTATGTTAGATTTGATTCAAATGCAAGAAGATCACGATGAATACATAAAACAGGTGTATATACCTTTTAATGTAAAGGTTTTCAATAAAGAGCAATTCGAAGTTCTAGATAGAAGCGGCAGGAATGTTTTACCGGTAATTTTTTTTTGACGCGACTGGCAGTATCGTTCGAAAGCCAACAACGAAAACAAAACGCGTTGATTTCTACTGCGCCGTTTTACCTATTTCTACCAGTCGTATATTTCCTATATTCGAAATGATGTCGGGTACTCATTTTTCTAAAACAATTTTTAAAATTTTCCACGACTTTCGAGTTTTCTGCGAAGAGCAAAATAAATGGCCAACCTTCGGGGCGGTTGTCAGTGTTGTCACAGATTTCAGCTTTGCTAATATACATGCCATTTTCAGGGCTTGTAATAAAACTAATTCGATGGAATATCTTGATTTAACTTATAAAATTGCGTCGGATGAAGTTGATCATCCGAAAGATCTTGTAACAAAACATTTATGCTGCGCACATCTCATGAAAAATTTCAGTAAAGGTATTAATGATTGTTTTACGGATAATGAAGTGCGGGAATTCTATAAAGACATTATGGCATCGGTGATGAATATGGATTTTTTCAGTGATATTGAAGATTGCTCTCAGAGTTTGTGTGTATTGTTATTCAGCCCGGTTATGAATAAAATTGTTCGTGAACATTTAGATATGTTATTAAATTCAAAAAACGCTGATCCCATCGACCTTGATATATATAGATTTTCGCGAGTGTAATAGGGTTAGGGAAGACGGATATGAAACTGCCGGAAAACGTGGATTGCATAAAACGAGTATTTTTTATATCCATATCCATGAATTCTCGCATGAATTATACGAAAAAATCTGCTTATGAGGGGCCAACTAATAAATATTTCAGTGAACAATTTTTGCATGTTATACTATCAAAATATATACTATTTTGTTCGCTCTGAGAGAGAACTGAGCTTCACTACAGTAACTCTTATGTGGAAACTTATTTCGGTCATCTCGAAAATAATGTTTTGGACGGTAATAAAAATCTCAAATGTTCTAGATATCCGAGAAAGAGTCGGGAAAACGTACTTGCATTACATAAAGAGTTCATGTTTAACATTCCTAAAACGGGGTTAACTGAACAAAATAAAAAGAAAATCGATCCCATGAACCATACGGCTCAAGAAACGTGGAATAAAAAAGTTAGGATCGCTCCAAGTACGCATTTCACCGGAAATTTAAAAAAAAGTTATGTTCAGTAAATGAAACGAAGAAGTGTAAAGAAACGGATTTGATTTCGCACACAGAAACTATATATCAATTGAATGTTGAAAATAATAATAATGATGATGATGATGATGATAATAATAATTAAAATAATAATGTGACATCGTTAGAGAAATGTTTATACTGCAGATACGGTCGTCTCGATTCAACTGTAGATTGGGTGGCTTGTGACTCTTGTCGACGTTGGATATATGTTACATGTGATCCTTCGTATGGAGATAAAACCTACAGCGGTTCTTTTATATGCGAGTACTGTTTTCCCTAAAAAAAATCAAACGATGAAACTAAATTATATAAATGTATGTATTGCGGTTTTGGTGATCTTGATAGTACTGTTGCTTGGGTAGCTTGCGATAATTGTAACGGATGGATCCATCAAATTTGCGATAGTCAAAATCGATCTTACAGCGGTGATTTTTATTGTAATAAATGTTCGAACGGTTTGAAATCAAAATGCGAGGAGGCATTGCGTAGGTTAGATGAAGAATGTGTCAAAAAGAATTTAAGTGAACATAATACTAAAGATCAACGGGAGTCATCTATGTGGTTCGAAGAAAGGAGGAAAAGAATAACCGCGTCAAATTTCGGGTCGATCTGCAAGGCAAGAGATCATGAAAGGAAATTGAAACTCGCGAAATCATTTATATCGCCTAAACATTTCGTTAACGAAGCCATAAAACACGGTATCGATCATGAAAAGTCAGCGCTCGACGCGTTCCTGGCCCAAAAACAAAAAATATAAATATAAGAAGTGCGGTCTAGTAATCCATCAAAATTTTTTCATTTCTAGGGGGTTCTCCAGATGGCCTTCTGGAGGATGACGGGATTATCGAAATTAAATGTCCTTCCAAAGTGCGGGATTCTGAACGACATGAAACTTTAAGATAGCTCCAATATATCGGTAAAGACGGGAAATTGAAAGTTACTTCAGTTCATTATTATCAAATACAGGGCTTACTAGAAATAACAAATAGATCGTGGTGCGAATTTGTAGTGTATAACTTCAAAGGTATACACTAACTGAGAGGATTGAAAGAAACCCCAAATTTGTTAAAAATTCAATGTTGAATAAATTGAAAGAGTTTTTTCACCATTATCATCTCCCTACTTTGCTTGATTTCGTGTATATTGATGACATCACGCGTGGAGACCTGTCAAAGATTTGAAATTCTTGTCCAATGGGCTAGTAAACGATATTGAATATTATACAGAAAGTAAAAGGGATTACGTTGTCGCGATATTCAAAGATTTAGATTGTTTTAATCAAATAAATATGTCAGATTTCTCATCTCTAGATAATAAAAATTGGTTAACGAATTTTGTAATAGATATCACTTTGAATCTGTTAAATGTCGATAATAAATATCAAATAGTAACCCAAGAAATCACGAGTGCTATTTTCAGTGGAAACGAAATCTGGTTTTTTCGTGTGGAGTCTACCAAATAATTTGGCAAGGAATTATTTTCTGATATCATGATTCTCCACATGATTACCTATCTTCCTGACCCAAAAGCAGTTGAGCAGTTTTTTGCAAAAGTATCGAAAAAAAAAAATAGTTTCGAAAAATCCATCCAATACCATACGATTTCGCAAGGAATTATTTTCTGATAGCATGATTCTACACATGATTACCGATCTCCCTGACCCGAAAGCAGCTGAGCAGTTTTTTGCCAAAGTATCGAAAATAAAATATTTTTGAAATTTTATAGTCTTTCATACCTATGATTTGGTAAGGAATGATTATTCTATAGACTCTATAGAGAATGATTCGAGACCCAAAAGCAGCTGTGCAGTGCTTTCACAATGCTAATTATTGTTTTTTTTTCAAGTAGGCTGCTCTATATATGGCACCTAATATCAATTTTGATAATAATGGATTAGATATTCATCGCCGTGCTTAACTACATACATCGCATCATCGCAAGCAAAAGCAGTTGAGGAATCTCAATATTCCCTACCCAAAAAGGGGGGAAACGTGTGCCACTGGTCGATCGGGAAAGTTCGGAAATTCTGGCAGCCAGCTCTGGCAGCCCACTTCACGCAATGAACTCAATACAACTGGAAGGGACCCACTGTGAACGACGAGTGAGGCAAAAATATTTTTCAGGCAACCCGCAGTGTTTACGGATACCTATCTCTCTCTATCTTGTGTTGGTTAATGGGAAGCGCTCGCATAATTTGAAATATTTTCTCGTTTTTTGCTTCTATTTAAAAGTAAACGTGATTAAATAAAAATATTCATTTAGGAAAAAGGATAATGTTGTAATCAACTATCATTAAAAAATTATTACTGATTTTTTTATTGACTTTGAAATGAAATTTCAATCTCACTCTCACATGATCGGAAGTCAAATGAATACAAAATTTAAATTATATATTTTTATTCAAATGTCACAATATATTGTACAGGGTGAGCGAAGCACAATGTCTCAGAACTATCAGAAGGAAAAGAAAAACGATAGGAAAAATCTGAAAAGAGGTTCTTGAATGGTATTGAGTGCATTTTGAGCATAATTTCCATAGGTTCCTATTCCTTCTTCCTTCTTCTGTCATATTTGAAATTTTTAGGTCTCTCCTTATTACGTTTTGTCCCAGTGTCTTCACTTTCCTCCTCAATACAATATATTTTATTGATAAACCTCTAAACTAGGGAGTTGGAAGTGGTAGGCAAGTCAAAGTCAATAAAATGGGAAACCTCTTCCTTTGGACCTAAGTTATGAGCGTCCATAGATGCATCCTGAAAACGAATTACTAGCTAGTTTTTTTTTATTTTGAAGAGGTGAAAACATACTTTTTTTCATTATTAATCAACTAGGTACCTATGAGTTTTCTTATTTTCCTGGGGGAATCAGCATTTTTTGGTAACAAATGCTGAGGAAATGAAAAATATACTGATGGGTACAGCATCTGCTTTAAAAAACCTCTAGCAGTACCTGGTATGCCTAAATAATCTGTTGTCAGGAAATGCTCCCCACAAAGCTTGCTGCTTCTATTTGGAGTCCAATTCTATCTAGGAACTGCCTTTATCCATAATTCGAGAATGTCTGGTCTTTTGAATGGAAAGCTGCAACAAATAATATTACTCAATATCAATATGGAAGTATTTAACTTTGACAAATAATATAGGTATAGTTTTTGAACATATTCTGAGACTGGGAACATTGTATACCTAACTGGATGATCATTTCAAGAACTGTATTTTTCAAAAATCTGAGAACAATATTCAACTTACCCATGGAATGCCCATTCCCTTTTGTTTTGTTCGTTCTTGCATCCAAAGGCGACACAATAAATCACCATTGTTTATCAATATTAATCACAAACCTTCCCAACAATCAGTTCAGTGTTCACAACAACAAATTCAGTCCTTTTGATACAACAAAACACGCCAAATGAATAGATATTTCACCTCGTATTTAGCATAAACGAAGACAATGAACTTATGTCTTCACTTTCTTGCCTGTGTAGATGAGAGAAAAAATTCCTAGCTACTTTAATTATTAGATAAAAGAAAATTTATACACCAATCCACCATTAAACAACACGAGTTGAAAGAGGACAGGTATCCGTAAATCATGCTATCTCTGTTGCAGCTGCCCCTGACACACTTTGTGCTATTCGAGAGAGCGGGCGTATCCCTTCCAGTTGTATTGAGTTCATTGACTTCACGTAGGTCAACTCCCATCCCATACCAACAAGAGTCTCGAGATCATACCCGTGTGTTCACCGAACACGCCCGATCGTTACCTAAGCGTTGGGGAGACCGAGACGTAAGCAGGCAGTCAATATAGTTACATTGAGTGGGCAGGCAGCTTCTCTCATGCTGTCTCTGTTTTTGTAGTGTAGTACGGGGTGGGCCACCAACAGTTTTCTTTTCAACTTTTTTTTTCTTCGAATAAATAAGAAACATTTTATAGGCATCAACTGATCTACTGCGATCTATCAGATAATGAGAACGATGATTTGATTTGCAATAATTCGCTATGTCACGACGAGTCCTATATACATGTAAATAGCGAACCACTCATCGAAAATCATGAAACTATGTGTACATATTATATGCTTATGTTTTGTTGGCGAGGACGCTCGTTTTATTCAAATTATTTTCGATAATGTTCATCTGCTTCACTAGAAATTATTATTAGTAGTTAGTATTAGTAGTAGCAGTATAGTAGTAGCAGCTTATTTGTTATTCAAAATGGAACACCTTATATTTCATTACATTTTTCGATTCTTCTAATTGAGCTATGATTTCGTTGATCAAGCTCAAGGTATACCTATACGTAGAATGTGAAAAATCGAGATTTTTTTGGTATCGAAACTATATACAATACCTATATATTGATTTGTCAAAATGGCTTACATGTGTCCCTATCCTAATATTCTATTTACTATCTACTGATGCCATTTAATTAAAACAAATACAGGGTGGATCAGATTTCAGAATTATATAAAAGAAGTACTAGTATGCCTACTAAAAAAATATATATATTTGAAATAAACAAAACAAATATATCACATAAAAAAAACACTCTGATATTCAACATAAAATAAAATTCAATCCCACTGGATGTATTTAAAAATAAAAACAGTGTGCATGTCACTTCTATAATGGAATCAACCCGTATATCTAACGTAACTGTTATTTTCAGGAGCGATAGATATATATATATATATCAACTATGACCAAAGTGAGGTAATCTTCAGTGAAATACACTACTCGGGTCATGGACCCACCAACATTTCCGGAAAATGATATTAGGAGGCAAGATAGGTTGAAAATCGCTTCGGATTCGAAATCAGGGCGTCCAATTCATTGACTATTCATATTGTTCCTGAGAAATGTTCAGTTCTGAAAAATCAAATTTTGTTTCAATTTACATGAAAGCACCCCCGCATCTTACGTAGGTATTCTATTCACAGCAGCAAGAAAGATACAATCAATGAGCAGTGTATATATCACTGAAGATGTCCCCACTTTCAGAATCCTAATAACTCAACAATTACGTAAAATACAGGAGTGTTTCCATTAGATTATTAAATTGACAAATTTGACTCCAAAATAATTCTGGCACGCGCCAATATTCATAACGAGAGAAGCTGCCTGTTTACGTATCCCAGTCCCCACCGCTTAGGTAACGATCGGGCGTGTTCGGTGAACACACGGGTATGATCTCGAGACTCTAGTCCCATACCATACCTCATATAATGATGGTGTCCCACTGCAATAACAGCAAATTATCATGATCCTATGTGCTATGACTGCTATGTGTGTGAATTGTATCCATATAACACACTTTTTATAATGTGAATATTCCTAATATACTTACAGTTGAGGTAGGTGGCATCCTAGACTGAGTTTTCATCTTGGAATTCATTTAATATCTTGTAAAGCTAGTGTTTTTACCATATTGATGAAATCATTGAATAATTTGGAGTTGCACTACATAAAACATTGTTCAAATGACCTAGTATTTCAGTTAATGTATTTGCACATTATATTATCATACATTTTGTGATTTCATATCATTTTGTAAAAGGTGCTAACAATTCATCTAATTGAAAATATCTATCTTATGTATCTGTGTATATAGTTCATTATGTTTCGTATATTTTGGAACTGAATTAATAATAATTTTTGAAATTGAATGTACATTGACAAAACATGTTTTACTGTAAGTATACCTACTTAATAATTGTTGATGGTTCAAAAGGTATTAATTACAATAAAACGATGTCACATTTGTGATTTTTTCTTTTACAAATATCATCCACATGGATATGCACCTTTCCCCAGAAATAATTTTATGACATGTATAACTTCATATCAATTAGCTGAAAAATTTTGTTTTCCTTGAGTTTTGTCATCGAATGAAATATTTAAGTCGATTTTCAAATGCCGCTGGCAGGTTCAAACACTACCCCGCAAAGATAAGCAATCATAAGGAAAAAATGCCCATTCAATATACAGATTTCGATAATAGTATAACAAATGGGGTTATTCAAAACAGCCTTTTTGTTATTAATTTTTTTCAAATATAGGTTCTTAACTGAATGTACGATTTCATGTAATTGTCTCTATATTGAACACTATTGTGTGTGGAAAATACGGATGACACCTCGAAAATATAATAATAATAAATTTGGTTAACTCAACTGCATATATTATAGAAAAAAAACTTGTTTATATGTTCACAATTTGGATTCCGTGAGCCAATTGAATGACTGCGGTTTTCTGTCAGCTGTTAAACTGATTATGACGTTGATAATAGTTGGTCCATCATTCGTTTTCAATGCATCTTTTATTGCACTTCTCAATTCTGGAACGGTGTTCACGAAATATCCAGATCTTCCAAATAATTTCATCATATTATCGTATCGAGTTGCGCTAGAAAGGCATCCAGGAGGTGACCTGAAAAGTAAAATATCATTCAATAGTTATACCTTTCTACCCATTGCTCGTATGATAACATCAAAAAACAACATAAGGGTCCATTCCGATTCAGAAGATCAATTATGTATCTAAATATATACTAAATTGTTGCCAATATCATGTATTTTTCTGATATTCTCAACAATTCAAAACTATATATATATATATATACCGATACTTAGTGAATTCACAGTGGAAGTATACTCAACAAAAAATTTCAAAGATGGTATTCAGAATGGCCTACTGATGTCTAGACTATCTCTATATATAGTTTCAATTTCTTTCGTGATCAAATAACGAACTAGAAATTCAGACTTCAGGTGTACAAGGACAATAAGACAGTTTGGTGCCTATCAAAGTCTATATCTCGAAAATTGCATAAACAAAACTGTTGGGAGAAAAAGTGCCCCTAGCCCCACCGATTTCTCATGCTCCTGATCAAAATTAAGGAAAATTATCAACAATTTCGAATTGGGCATAAAAAGTTAGGAATATGTACAGAATTAGTTTATTTCATAACAAAGGGGCTCCCCTTCCGATCGCAATAACCCCTAGGGGGACACTTTCTGGACCTATGTTCATATGAAGAATTTTCACTATTCTTGTTCCTATATGGAATATCTGTGGTTGCAATATTTCTATGTAATTTCAGGACACCCTGAATAGCAGAATTCCCATTTATTTCCATAAACCTATAAGAACCTACGACGAAGGCAGGCCAAAGCTCTGTCAATGAAGACCTCGCGGAAATCACAGCTGGGGAACCAACAACCTAGTTGAATTCAATGCCACCAAAACTAGAGCCCATATTTCCTCTAGAAAGGCGGAACTCGTTTGGCTGAGATAAAAATGTTTGATATCACCATTCCCACCAAGAACATATACCTACTATATCTCTATGCTCGGTATTACCATCAGAATATACTCTCTCACGGGAAAATCATGTCCGATCCATTGCAAAACCTGCTTCACAAAATTTCCTTCCGTGTGCTCCAAGAGATGAAAAAAAAATGGACAACAGAGCTGAGAGAGGTCTTCGAATATTTTCTAATCCGTGTTTTTTTTTTTGGAGCGAACGAAATGAAATTCCTATGATCGAAGAACATCGCTCGTACCTAGGGAGGATAGGGAGATGATGTAGGTGTATTTGAAAAAGAAATTTATTTGACATGTTTTCAATGAATTATCTACATCGTGACATGAAATTTGCAATGATCTCTCGGAAGTGAGATCATTGACGAACTCAATCATCACTAGCTGCTATTATTATTGGCCCACAGACCGACATATCTATTTTTTTTTATTAGTGAAGTTGAGTGATATTGCAGCAATAGAATTTAAAAAGTCAATTTTGTTTCAAATTTTTCATCCTGTTAGGAGTACTAAATTTTCAATCGTATTCAATTGTATCTTTATGATTTGGGTTATGTATAACATCTTTTCACGAGAAAAACGATACCATATTAGACAAATCAAACAGTCAAACCCAAAGAGAAGACCAAGAAAATGCTTGTATATTATATATACGCATATTATAAAATGACCGAATACTTCAGATTGAATGACATTCTGAGAATGTCGTGAATGCGAGTGTGGTTTGATATCTCAGTAGAATATGACTTTTTAGAGAACGTATTGCTTTTATGACAGTTTTGAGAGAGATTTCAAGTATGGGTACTTGATCCCAGCTAACATGATCACGTAATATTGACGTCTTTAATTGGTCAATATTGGTAAATGACGTCGAGGACTTTAGGTCGACGTATATCATACGTCATATTTTTGACCAATGAAATACGTCATTTCTATGTCGTCATTATGACGTTAATTATACGACATATGAAAACAATACATCAGACAAGCAACAGATCATCTCAATTCATCTACCATACTATAAGAGTCATGTTAATAATTTAAATAGCTTCCAAATAATTTTATTTTAATTTTATATAAATATTCTTCTATACTTTACAAACCTACTTCTGAAACAGGAAAGAGAAATGGATTCCATTTGGCTGAAAATATTCCAAACAAATCATTATCAAAAGCTCATAATTCTTTTGGTGAAACTACAATAAATTAGATATAATTGATTCGTAGTTTAGATATAGAATGAATGAATTCAGTAGTTCATATTACGCGCCAACTAGGTAGTTTGCGCTTGCGTTCTAAGTTTCCCCCTACATCGCGACACTTCTCCGCATCTTCGCTACTCGCTACACGTCATTCAGTTGATATATAGTTTTATCTTCGTCGGATCCATGCAATGTATGTATTGCTGTCCTTTACTTTATCGAGGTAGGTGATGCGCCATCTTCACGTATTGACGTAGTGAAGTAATCAGGTTGAATAGGTCTTTTCATTTAGATGACAAATGACAATCGTTGTTTACATCTCGCCTCCAACGACAGTGGCGGCGAAAATTTTTTTAAGGAATTATTCAAATTATTGTTGTTGACATTGACATTTCTCATTTGATGTTGATCAGGAGAATAATGTGCATGCAGAAAAAAAATCAAATTGATATCATGTTGAAGAAAGCAGGAAATAATGGAACAAAATGTACACAAGGTTTCTACAGCAGAATGATTGAGTTATAAATAGTTTTCATCTAGTATTTATTCTCCACTGAGCACCATTGACGACATGAAAAATAAAAATACAACTTTACCAGGAGCCTCTCATTCAACGATACAACTCTGTGGCTTTAAATTTACCGAAATGAAGGAAAAGTCTCACTACCTGATTCAGGTAGTATGTGGTAGGTCTAATCTACATGATTTATTTTTTTAAATGTAACTACACTCTCAATCTGGAGGCTTATTTTCCATGCTGTTACTGTAAAGTGGTAGCGAAGCTAATGACTATTATTGAAGTATGTAGAAAAGGTTCAGTTTAGGAGGAACATTCTGATCTTGGTGTGCATGAAATTATTTGGAGGCTTCTTGATGCTGTTACTGTAAGTGGAATGGAAGATATAATGACTATTGAAGTATGTGGAGAAGGTTCATCAGTTTAGGAGGAACATTTTGATATTATGGTGTGCATGAGAGTTTTAATATCAGGCATTGATGTTATACAAAGGGATTAGTTCAGTAATAATTTTCATTATATTTTGAATAAGTACTTATTACATAAGATTTTGCTCAATTTTGTATACTTCCATACCAAAATTCCAACAGTCAGAACATTTCTGCTTGGACTCATTGATAAGATGCTGAGAGAGGGCATTAGTTTCTAGAGGCAAGCAGTATAAGCTTACTATTTCAATTACCACCTATCTAGTAGTATATTGAAAATATTTAATTTTTGTTCTGTACTCAACTATATCATATATAGTCACAGATTAACAATAAGGTTTGTTAATCTGTGACATAGTCATCTATGAAAATATACAATAGGTACTTTGGATTATCAAAGAATAGTCCTCTGGGACAGAAATTGTTCAAAGCTTTCTTTAATATGAATAATCAACACATTATTTTGTATCTGGACAAAAGGCCACATTTGATTATTCACAAGCAAAATAAAAATCAAGACCATTCTGAGTTATTTAATTATTATAAATTCAAATTAGTGTATAATATCAAGGAATACATAAAGAATGTCAGATCATTTTCTGATATCAAAATGATAATACTCCTGTTCAAAATTAAGGCACCACTCACATTTCTTTGAGTTTTAAATTTTTCTACCATAGCATTTAATTTTGCTCAAGTTCTCAATATTTGAATAAGGATAACTCATCCTCAATGCAATACTCTCTGATTACCCTTATTTATATATTATTATCCTAATAATTTACTAGAAATTGCAATATAAAGAATATATCAAAATGATTATTAATGACTACAGGTGTATTATCTAATGCCATATGCTTACAATATAAATCAAACTATTTGAAAGCTTGAAAAGTCCAGTCTGTAACATAATGTTATATGCAACAATTTCTGATAAATTTGTGATTACTTCATTAGATCATTAAACATAATATTCAAATTATAACTAACATATATCATTCATTTATTAATCAGTTTTGCTGTGAAAATAATAAAGGAAAGCACATTTTATAATTAGGTATTTTCGAAAAATTCATACATGACAGCATTCCTGATTCACAAATTTATTACAATTCATTATTACTGTTTCACTCCTAGAAAGTCATGAAAACAAAATATAAACATTTCAAAATTAACAGATCATTTATTCATTAGTTTTGATGTTAGAAATAAAAGGGAGCAATTGTAGTTATTATATCAAAAAAAAACATCACTATATCTTTACTGATTCTCTTCTAGAAAATAATTAGAAGAAAATATGAACATTGCAAAATAACATAGAACATTAATGTATTGAAAATAAAGGGTAGCAAATGTTATAAGTTATTACATCAAAAAATTGTTCACACTACATCTTTACTGATCCACTTCCTCTAGAAAATAATTAACACAAAATATGAAAATTTAGCAGTAACAGAACATTTGATGAGTATTAAGAATGAAGCCAGCAAATTTACAGTTGTTATTATATTGAAAATATATGATTCACTTCTAGAAAATAACTAAAACAAAATATAAACATTACAAAATAAAATATATCATCGATGAATTATTTTTGCTGAGTATTAAAAATGAAGGGGAGCAAATGTTATAACAGTTATTACATAAAAAATTCTTTACACTACATCTTTACTGATTCACTTCTTGAAAATGATTGAAAGCAAATTAAGAAAGAAATTTAGAACTAACACAGAACATTTATTCATCATTTTTGATAAGTAGGTACTAAGAATGAATCCATCAAATGTAATAATAGTTATTATATCAAAAAAATCATTACTCTACAGCATTAGGTAGTGATTTACTTCTAGAAGTTATTCAAAACAAAATATTGAAATTTAGAACTATCATGGAACATTTATTCATCATTGTTGCTGAGTAATAAAAACAAAGGGAGCTAAATATAATAATATAATTATT